GGCTAGCGAGCTCTGGGAGCTTTCTGGGCGGCGACCAGGACATCGCAACAACGAGGCCAGCAAGACCCAGGATCCAGTGGGCGGCGACCAGCAATCGCAATCACCAAGGCCAGCGTGACCCGTCTCCTGTGGGCGGCGACCCGAAACCGCAACAACCAGTGCCAGCAGGATCTGGGATCAAGTGGCCAGCGGCCAGAGATCGCAATGACGGGAACGAATTGACTCCAAAACGATACAACACAAACGGCTTAGTGCAAGCACTGCTTGGAGAACAAAAAAAAAACTCGCCTTCCTTGCATTGACGTCCCGACCAGCACCTGAGAGTCGCCCACCACTTGCGAAAGGGAAGAGAAGGGAAGGATAAGGAGGAGACGAAGGAGAAACAAGAGGGTGACGAGCGGCGAAGAGGAGGAGGAAGCGAGGAGAAGGAGGAGGAGGAGGAGAAGGGGGAGGAGGGGGAAGGAGGACGAGGAGAACGAGGAGAAGGAGGAAGGGGAGGAGGACGAGGAGAAGGAGGAGCAGGACGAGGAGGCGGGGGAAGGAGGAGAAGGAGGAGAAGGAGAAGGAGGAAGCGAGGAGGAGGAGGAGGAGGACGAGGAGGAGGAGGAGGAGGAGGAGGAGGAGGAGGAGGAGGAGGAGGGGGGAGGAGCAGGAGGAGCAGGGGTGCGGGGAGGAGGTCGTACCTCGGCCACCCCTCCGGCTTCGGTGCCCTCCGGGTCTCCGGCAGAGCTGCACTGGAACGGCGACGCCTCCACCTCGTCGCACTGGCCCCCCGCCGAGTTCGTCGCCCCAGCGTGCGTGTCCACGCAGGGCGGCGCCGGGGTCGGTGCTTGCGTGGGGACTCTCCCGCTCGGCCCCGGCCCTCCGCCGCCGCACGAGCAGCACATGTCCGTGACGGTGAAGTCGTCGTCGTCGTAGTAGTAGCCGGAGTAGACGCACTGCACCGGCATCGCGTCCACCAGCGCGCACTGGTCCCCCTGCACGTTCGTCGCTCCGCCGTGCGTGTCCACGCAGGACGCCGCAGGGGTCGGAGCTGGCGTCCCTGGCCCTCCGCCGCCGCACGCGCAGCACATGTCTGCGACGGTGAAGTCGGCGTCGTCGTAGTAGTAGCCCAGGAGGGCGCACTGCACCGGCATTGCGTCCACCAGCGCGCACTGGTCCCCCGCCGCGTTCGTCGCTCCGCCGTGAGTGTCCACGCAGGGCGGCGCTGGGGTCGGTCCGCCAGCGCCGTCGTCGTGCACGGCTTCGGAGGGGGCGGCAGTTGGGGCAGCCGACGTCGGTGCCACCTCACTCGCTCCTTCTCTGCTCCCGTCTCCACTCCCGCCCCCTCACCTGACTCCCCCGGTCTTCCCTCCCCCGTCCCCCCTCCTCCCCCCCCCAACCCTCCACCAACTGCCCCTGCCTCGGGGATGGACAGACCCCACTTTAGTAAAACGTGGTTTCGTGAAAACGACCCGAGGCCCAAACCTGGCGGGCGCAAGCCTGGAAAAGGACGGCCGCGGCGCCCTCTCGAGAACAGAAAACGGACAATTCACTACTCGACGTGTCACTGTTGGGGGTTCCGTCCACCCCCGACGGCCCCCTCCCTGCGCGCGCGGGCCACCCCTCACCCCCTGCGTCTGCTCCCCGACCCTGCCACCCGGCTCCCCCAGAAAGGCTGGGCCCCTCTCAGTCCGAGGCCCAGGGGGCGGGAGGGAAGACCGAGGCGATGCCGAGGACAGAACGGACGAGGGGAGTGGAGACGAGAGAGGAATACGGCGGGAGAGGACGAGATGGGGGAGGATAACAAGGAAGAAAAAAATCATGTGAAGGAATCGTGGGGAAGGCAACGGTCCCAGTTCTGGAAGATGAGAGGAAAAGATCAGGTGGAGGAGGCGTTTGGTCGCACTGGCTTCTCACGAGATGCTACGCGATTTCGGTCAAACCCCACAAGCCCTCTGGGCTGAGGTGGTTTAGCGCGTTTCCTCTTCCATCCTCCCCCTTCTCCCCCCTCTGGGAGGGACCACTGATCCCCATTGATAAACACCCTCTCCCACCCGACCAGCGACAAGCCCGAAAAACAATGCCACCACCACCCCTCCACACCATCCCTTGCGAAGAAACCCTACAATGTGCACTTCGCAGCTTGGATCAGGAGCGGGCGCCTCGCGGTCACGTCGCAGTGATGTCTGGGGCGGGGACTGCAGGGGGGCTGGCGCATTGTCCCCTTCGTGCAATGCCAGCACCCTCTGACCACCCCGTGCAGAAGAACGATACAGTCAACCCGTGCAGTAAGGATGCGCGATGAGGATGCACGGGCATTGGACGCCCATTTCGAAGCTTTTCGAGCGGGGCGTGGCCGACGAAAGTGGCGAAGGATGGACCGAGGAGGCAAGGATGCAAGGGTACCCTTGGGAAGGTTGCCCATCCTTACTATGCGGGTTGACTGTACGAAGCGCACGTTGCACCAGGATCTGGAGCATGCCCCGGGCGCCGCGCGATCCCTTCGAACCTGTTTCTTTGAGGGACAGCAGGGGTGGCAGCATGCTGTCTGTTGTGCAGTTCCAGAACCCCCACAACCCCCAGGAAAAAAACGATCCGATCTGCACTTTGCATCAAAATCTGGGTCATGCACGAGCGCCCCGAGGTCACTGTGCATCGGCTTTTGGCAGGGACTGCAGGGCGGGGGGGCGGTATATTGCCTGCCGCGCGCAGGTCCACCACCCTTTCAAAAAACACGCACGCACACACAAACACAAACACAAACACACACACACACACACACACAAACTGCATTTGGCCAGGGGCGGCAGGGGGACCGGCATGCTGCCGGCTATGTGCACACCTGCCAGGCCCACCATCCACGTCAAACGGAACTAGAACATGCACCTCGCAGCAAAAACCTGCGCGGGCGCCCCGCGATCAGTTCGCATCGGTTCTTGACGGGGACGGGGAGGCCTCCAAGAGGCCCTCGAAAGGCCCAAAAAGAAGACCCAAGAGGCCCCCAAACGGCCCCCAGGAGGCCTGAAAATTACCTCCAAGAGACCCCCGAGGCCCCCCGCGATATCCCAATGAACAGCCGAAAGACCTCTAACCTACAACACAGGCACGTTGGCGGGATGGGACGAAGGCCACTTATACAGATACAAGTGTGTATATATATGTATATATGTAAGTGTGTGTATGTATGTATTTATGTATGTATGCATGTACGTATGTATGTATGTGTGTGATTGTGTGCATGCATGTATGTATGTATGCATGCATAGATGAATGGATGGATGCATGGATGGATGGATGCGTGTCTGTATGTATGTATGTGTATATGCAAGTATGCATTATGTGTGTATGTATGTATGTACGTACGTACGTACGTATGTTTGTGTGTATGTATGTATGTATGTGTGTATGTATGTATGTATGTACGTATGTGTATGAATGCGTGTATGTATGTGTGTGTATGTATGCATGTATGTATGGATGTATGTATGCATGTACGTATATATGTATGTATGATTGTATGTATGCATGTATGTATGTATGTGTGTATGTACGTATGTATGTATGTATGTATGTATGTATGTATGTATGTATGTATGTATGTATGTATGTATGTATGTATGTATGTATGTGTGTGTATGTATGTGTGCGTGTATGTATGTATGTATGTATGCATGCATGTGTGTATGTTCGTATGTTTGTATGTTTGTATGTATGTATGTGTGTATGTATGTATGTATGTATGTATGTATGTATGTAGGTAGGTAGGTAGGTAGGTAGGTAGGTAGGTAGATAGGTAGGTAGGTAGGTAGGTAGGTCCATGTGTATGCATGTATGAATGTATGAATGCATGCATGCATGTATGGATGTATGTATGTATGTGTGTATGTATGCATGCATGTGTGTACGTATGCATGCGTGTAAGTATGTGTATGCATGTGTATATGTATTTATGTATGCATGCATGCATGTATGTATGTATGTATACTTACATCTACGTATACATGTACTTGTATATGTGTATGTGCGTGTCCGGCATCCTGCCCAAAAAAACAAGCAATGGTTGAACAGCTTGGAAGAGTCGCGCGTTGAGGCCGGAGTGCAGGTGGTGCGCGCCTCCGCTATACTGGAGAGCCAAAGCAAGTTCCCGTCAGGCCCACGGTTCTGAAGGATGGGAAAGCTGCCACGCAACGGGCGACCCATGAACAAGCACGACGTGAGGCTGGGCCGCATGTCTACCCCGACGCCGCTTCAGTCAGTCGACCCACACACCTGCGCACCGACTCCCAGGTTCGCCGTTGTGTAGGGAGGACCCTCCTTGGCCCTCGCGCCCCTGGGCTCTGCGCCGCCGCGCCACCTGCGGGCAAGACGGAACGGCGCTCCGGCTCGGGCGGCCGGAGGAGGAGGAGGAGGAGGAGGAGGAGCCACTGCAGCAGCTCGTCCCGATGACGAGGCCCACGTGCAGTAGAGAAGGACGGCTGCCACAGCGCCCCCAGTCGCCCCGATTGCCTGCGGAGGAGGAGGAGGAGGAGGAGGAGGAGGAGGAGGAGGAGGAGGAGGAGCGCCCCCAGTCGCCCCGATTGCCTGCCCTCTTCGGCGCAGGCGCGCCGCGCGCCCCGTGCCTCGCCGTCGCGCGCGGCCCCCTCCCGGCGCACTGCCCCGCCGCGCGTGCGCACGACCGAGCGAGCCGAGCCACACGCGCGGGCACGGCCTCCGCGGCAACCGAGGGCAGCACAGCCCGCAACCCCGCCCCAGCCAGGGCCCCCACTCCCCAGCCTGGTGGTTCCTGGGGTCCTGGCTGGGGGCGAAGGTGGTCTTCAGTCTGCCCCCCCCCCCCAAGGACGACCCCAGGACACCACCCCCACCCCCAGCCAGGTCCCACCGGATCCCCGGGTCGGGGGCGGAGGTCCTGGGCGGGGGGGGGGCCGTGGTGTCCTCGTGCGCGAGCCCGGCATGCACGGGTGACCACGCAAACGAACGCAGACCAGCCAGTCCACCGCGCACGTGCACGCACGCTCTTGGCCTCTGAACCAGGCGGGGGCTGGGGCGGCGCCGACCGCCATCCTCCGCGACACCCGGAGGTCCACGCCCTGCTTCACGCGGGCGGTCCCCTCTCCGAAGAGAGCCGCACGGACTCCGCGGAGCGCGCCTGGATTCCTCGGCGGGGCGCGCGCTCTCGCGCGCGCGCCGGCCGCGGACGAGCGGGTGCGTCTGCCGGCGGCTGGTCTGCATCTTTGGGGGCCAGGCCCCCTGGGATGTCGGGGAACAAAAAGTGACACAAGCATAAAAACTCGGACGTCCCCGCGGATTTCTCGGATCGGCGCTCGACCCCCCTCCCTGGCGCGCGGAGCGCGCCAGGGGCGGCGCCGGAGGCGCTGCCGGGGGGCCCCCAGCGCCGATCCGAGAAATCCGCGCGGACCTCCGAGTTTTTATGTTTATGACACTTTTTTTTCCCCTGGATGTCTCATCGAATTCGAAGCGGTAGGTAGTCCGAGCAGCCTTCTGGGCAAGGCGGATGCTCTGGCTGGGGCGCCTGCGGCCGCCCAGGGGGCGCGTCGTCGCCGTCGGGCGCTCCACCGACTCTCTCCGAGCGCCCGCAGCATGAGCTCATCGCGGCGTGCGCCCACGTCGAAAACATCGTGACGGCGGTGGGCGTGCACGGCGCACGTCGCATGCCGGCCGCCGCCCCTCTTCGCCACCCCGCTCGGCACTCGCGGAGGTCAGGGTGGGAGGAGGCAGCGCTGGTCCAGATTCCCCTGCTCATCCGCTGCCGCGTTCCGACGCGCGCGCACGGCGCGTCGCGGTCTGCAGAAGAGCCCAAATGGAGAGGTGGAACTGCTCAATCGTTTGCGTGATCCCTTCTCGAAGGTGCCACTGCCACTGGCTTCGACACACGCGCAGCACCCGGCCCCTGGCTAGCTGGTCAGCTAGCTGGCTGGTCACCTGAGCCAATCACACTCGCCATTGCCGTCGGCATTGGTGGTCGCGCTGTGGAACGAGGCAGCGGCGCCTTCCTGGCCTGGCCCCTGGCCCTGCTGGCGCCGCGATGGCGGAGGCTTCGGCGGGCGCGCTCGGGCGCGGCAGCCGATCTGCACACGTGGAAGCGCCGCCTGGGGCTGGCGATCTTGTAGGCCGGCTTTCCCTAACTGCTCCCGGTAAGCCTGGAGATCGCAAACGGAGGCCTCCCGAATGTTGTCCGAATAGATGGGGGGTCGTGCCGCATCGCCGACGCATCGCCGATGCATCGGCGATGCAACGGCGATGCATCGACGATGCGTTGGCGGCGCCAGCAGGGAGAAAATCGGGC